AGTCGGAACCAGAAGTTGGGAGAAGGCAGGAAAGCCCCCTTCTCCCACCATTGGAGTTAGAGTTCCCAGAAAGGGTTAGTTTATGCGGTGCACTCCGTTGCCGGGTGAGGCAGGAGAAGGGGTGGGGGCAGAGGACAAGGGAGAGGGGGCAGAGGTCTCCTGCCTCACCCAGCAACGGAGCATGCCGTACCCCACCAGCTCATCCTTCACCCAAGGAGCCACCGCTGCCTCTCCTGCCTTGCCCGGCAACAGAGCATACCATGCACCACTGGCTCATCCTTTGCTCTCCTCTCCTCCACTACCACTCCCTCTCCTGCCTCACCTGACAACGCATTGGCAGTAGAAGATAGGGCTCCTCTGCCCATACCACGGCCCTGCCTCCTGCCTCCTGCCTCCTCTTTTTTTTACTTTTTACTTGGTTGGACAAAACGGACTTACGAACAGTCTCTTGAAACATAACCTGTTTGTAAGTAGGGGGCTGTCTGTAAAGCCTTCCACTTGGGGATGTGTGATAATCAGCTGGTCCCAAATATACTCCCAAAGAGCCATATTTTATTTCTTTATTTTATCAAGTTTATATAGCTGCCCATCTCACAGAAGGTGACTGTGGGTGGCATACAACAAAACCAACCATTAAAATCGAACATAAAAACTAATTAAAACAAATAAATAATCAACCTAAGTATTTTCACAGCTCTTTGAAATTCTTGTAAGTACAAGGTGGTCCAAATATCCAGGGATAGGCTGTTCAGGCAACAGCTACAAGTCCAAGTAGATCCTCCAGGTTACAAGCCTTCAGGGGAATGCAACTCCATCCAGAGCTAAAGATGGTCTATCCTCAAAATCCATTGGCTTTCAACTCCAAAGACATTCCATCTTGCTGGGATTAAGTCTAAGCCTGTTTTTCTCTATCTAAACCCAAAGCCTCCAAACCCCAGGTTAGGACCTCCACTGCATCTCCTGCCCTGCTCAAAGACATTAAGTAGGTATCATCTGCGTGCTGATGATACCTCAACCAGTGCCAAAGATCTCATGAAGAGTTTAAACAGCAGGGGCAGAAAGGGCAAGTCCAACAGAACTCCACAGCAGAGTGTCCAAGAACTCAACCTTTCTTCCCCAATGACTGGAATTGGTGCAACTGGCCATTCAAGAAGAACCATTGCAAAACAGTGCCACTGCCAATTCTCAGCCAGCCCAGAATGATACTATGGTTGATGGCGGTAGTAGTAGTCACAGTATCCTTATTTCAATTATCAACCAGCATTAAATAACATTCAATGATGAAATCTTCTCATTGCAATAGCTGTCTAGTCTATATACTGTGTGAAATGACTCAAGTTTTAAGTTACTAGTCAGACTATAAAACTGTAATATCCATACTGTTAAGAATGTAAAGATAAGAGTGTGAAGACAAGGAGTATAGTTCAATGTAGATTTATATAATTTGGATGTTAATATATAAAACTATGGAATAATAACTAAAAATAATTACAAATAGCTCACACAAAATAGTTGATGGTATTAAAGGCAGTCAAGAGCTCCCCCATCCTGACCCTGCCAAAAAATTTCTTCAAGAGCAATCAATGCAGTTTCTGTCCTAAAGCCCAGCCTCATTCCCAACTGAAAAGGGTCTACATAATCTGTTTCATCCAAGGTTCTCTGTAACTATAGCTCAACTACCTGAAAGGGAAAGTTGGAAGCAGATTATAATTATCCAAGATAGCAAGGTCAAGCAATGGCTTCTAAAGGAGGCTCAGTCTCCTCCTGTACCCAACCTCCACTCACCACCCTGGTAGCATTCACTATCCAAGCAGTGCAAGGATCTAGTCTACAGATGGCAGAGCCAACAGCACAGAGAACCCTGTCCACTTCCTCAGGTTCCAGACTCTAACCAATCTGAGATAATCTCACAAGACAAGCCTCTGTTATCTCAGCTGGATTTGCCCAGTTGACATCCAGCTGCAAACAAATGTAAGCAGTTTTATCATCTAAATGATGCACAAATTTGTCCTAATCTTCTGGTCCAGCTTTCCCTAATAGAGACCAAGTAGCTTCAAACAATACTTTTGGGCAGTTATCCATGGATGCAATAAGAACAGAGAAATAAGACCACTGCACCACTCTTACTACTATGGTGTAAGGTCAAACTTGGGCTCTTATCCAGGTTCAGTCACATTTATTTTTAGTTCTATTTCATTGCTCCAGGTGTCTCTTCTGCTGTCTTGTTGCCCAGAGCTCCTTCATAAACCAGGAGCTTCCCTAGATTAGTGAACAGATAGAGGTTCCCAGGAGCAATCCTGCCAAATGTCACTGCCATTCCTTTATTTCAGAATCAACTAATCATTCAGCAAGAGGTTTGGGAAAAACCTCAGGTATCTTTTGGAAATCCACGGGACATATTACACACCTGGCAGATGCTACCAAATACAGGTAGTCCTTGTTTAGTGACTGCCTCTTCTAGTGACCATTCACAGTTACAACAGTGATAAAAACATAACTTTGTGACCAATCCTTGCATTTATGATCTTCACAGGTCTGTAAAACAAAGGAAAGCTGATGTAAGATCATAAGCACAAACATGGTTTCACTTAGCAAACACTTCACTTAATGACCAAGTTGCAGGTCCCAATTGTGGTCGCTAAGCAAGGACTACCTGTAGGTTCATCCTTCCTGCAGAGATCTATGGTACCAGTTAACTCCATGGAAACCAGTGACTGATCTGACCATGATGAAGGACTGATGAAAACTTTCAGCTCGTGACTCAGCTGCTTCAACAGAAATCAGATGGCTTTCTTTGTAGGTCACATTTGTGATCACTTGGGACAAGCCCATAATGCAAAGCCCCATTATTTGGTTCCTGAAATAGGTGGGCAGGGGGACATTTCACTCCTCTGGATCCCAGTGCTGCATCCTTTCAGTGTTCTCCCCTGGTATGACACTTTACAACTTGGAGTTTAGCCATCCGCCAATCCTCCACACAGCTCTTGTCTTCTGCAGCCACCATGGACCTGTAACTCCAGGTCTTCTGAGCTCAATCTACTCACCAACTACTGACTACTGCCAGCTGGCATATGTGGCATTTGGGCCCCTGTGGTACTCCATACATATTTCTTCTGGAAACTCACACAAATGACTGCTGTAAGAAACACAACTGGAAAGAGATGGTACTGAAGTCTATCTGATACATAGTTTCTCTCAGACATATCAGCTACATAAGGATAAGGTTGCTATTAAAATTAAGGAATTATGATACCCCTTTGCTGGCACAGTTTTAAAGTCAGTGAGTTTAAACAAACTATGCTGCCAGAAGGGAAAACAATATGAAGAGGTTGAGGTATATTGAGAAAAATAAAAGTTGGAGTCCTATGCACATTACCTGGGAGTAAATCTCACTGAACTCCAAATCTCACTGGACTCAGTAGGACTTATTTAAGTGTAGTATACATAAAACTGTCACAGCTGGTGACAGCTTCTAACTAATTTGACTGAACTTGCAAGTTAATCAAGATTAATACTTAGATGGGAGCTGCTTGGAAATTCCAGAGCTTTGGTTAGATGGGGAAGTAAAAAATAAAATAAAAATCCTGGAAGACAGCAATGGCAAGCCATTTCTCTAAGACTGCCAAAAACTTGCAGAGGAGTCAAACTAAATAATTAGAAGTTAAACTAAGCCTGGGCGCATCTTTACTTTAGGTACATGATGCAGTCATTTAGCCAACCTTGGCTGATCTTGGCTAAAATAAGCAGGGTTGGACTTGGTTGGAATATACTATATATGACAGACTTCCAGAAAATTCCAGAGCTGTAAGCTAGAGGTTGTAAAAATATCTTGGTTGTAAAAATATCCATGAAGTCATGTATCCACAAAGTCATCAAGAGTCAGGCTTGACTCCAGGGAGTCTTTACCTTCACACATTCCATTAATTATATCCTATATGAGGATATTATCAGGATGAAAAGTCCTATATCACCAATCAAGATACAGTTTAGGGAGCAAAACAGCTGTTCTAGCTAGATATCCATTCAAGGAAATGAATGGGTAGCCCATGTGGCTCCCCCTCAACTCCCTCTCTCCATCATGACATATGGAGATAAATATATTTCCATCATAATAAGGAAATAATTCATGTCAATAAGTATGTTATGGGGAGGGCTGAGTTACTTCACTCCGTGTTACTCCAAAAGTGCTTTACTCCAATTGTGCACAGACAAGCAAAATAGCAAATAGAAGAAAACCAGATGAATAGAGCCCTCACAGCAGAAGCTACCATCTCTCATCACTTTCAGATACCCAATGTCTGAAGCATTGGGGCAATTAAAGTTGAAGCTGAACACCTCTGGAATTAGGGGAAAGGGGTCCATTTTGACTATGGCTGTCCTTGGCTAATAGAGAAGCAGTAATAAAACATAAACCGAGTTCCCATTTTGTACTAAACCAGTTTTGCTAACCACATTTTTAAATAAACCCCATTTAGGTGGGCTGGACCATCACCCTACAATACAAACAAGCAAACCACAATATGACCTAGGATTGTGTATAAATTTAACCCCAAGAAAAATACGTAACGCAGTCACAAGATGCCCAGTATCTTTCGGTGTCAGCTTGGCTAGGTGCCTCCAACAAGGGTCTCAAAGGTTAGCTACACTGATCTTCCTTTACTTCCTTGAAAGATAAGAGCCAGGTGACATACAGTGCAGCAAACTGGAAATACACATACAGATGTTGTCAAGGCAATGCCCACTAATCCACTATGGGGAACCTCAGACAACATATACTATCTGCATATGCACACGTACTGTCCTAATACTAGACCTTTAAACAGATATTATGCCTGCTAGATCAGCTGCAGGGCTTTTTATGGCATAGAATTAAATACTGTTTCCTGTCAATTGCTCAGCATAACGTCAGTCTGGTTGTTCTAAGGTTCAGAAGTCCAAAGATTGAAAAGTCAGCAAAGCTGCTGTCAGGTGCATTTCCACACGGAGAGGCATCAGGTGACTATACTTCCAAAGGAAAATAAGGATTTACAGAACCGAAAGCACCTGTCTGGCAGCGCCATTTCCACAGCAACGGGCACCTCATCACAGGAGCCATCTAATAGCCTTCCCTACTACTCACAAATCAGATGTGACTAGTACATTTTCCCTGTCTCCACTCACACCTGGAGACCCATGTAGAGGCAAGAAGACCCTCTACTGGCATGCCTACCCTAGCACTTCACAAAGGTGAGTCAGCTGCTGCTTGGCAGAATTGCCACAGAAGGTGCAGCTGCCACAGCTGTACTTCTATCTTATGCTGAGTCAACAGAAATGGACTTGCCAACTGCCGGTTTATTCATCCTCAGGAAGAGAACGCTGAGTCAAGGGCATTGTGGTTGGTTTTTCAGGGACTGGCAAAGCACCCACATAGGGCATGAGGTTAATTTGCACACACAGCATATGCTGCTATAACGTTCCAGTTAGTTTTTCTTCTGTGCTTTGTTGTTGGGTGTCACATTCATCACAAGACCAGACAATCTGAAAAATGACATTCTCCCAAATAAGCTTACCTGGTCTTTAAGATCTGTGGGGAAAGTTCTTGGCTCAGTCTTGCCACTGGAGGTGTATTTGGCAGGGACATAAACAAGGGCCTTCTTAATACCTGCATTCCCATGACACATTTGTTTACTAGCTCAGTTTTCTGGGTTCACAGGCTAGGTTCACACAACATACTAGGTTAAAATGTGGTTCAATATGTCATGCAAATACAGGCAGTGGCTACTATTAGGATCTGGAACTCTCTGCCAACTCAGGCCAGGTCCTTCTTCTTAGCCTCTTATAAGCAAGCAAAGACAATTGCTTTATTTATGTTCAATTATAATTCTGCTTTTTAATTTTAGAAGGAAATGCCCCAAAGGCAAAATATGTTTTGTTTCAAATCTGAAATAAACATATTCTGGCTTAGAAGTTCAGCCAAACCATCCTGGACAGGTCATGCTTGGCCAAACCAAAACTGAGAACATTGTTTATGAAGACCCTTCTGGAGGAGCCTCATGGGTCAAGTAGGGCAAGACTAGTGTCCCTCAGTCCTCTCCTCTCATAGCCTCTACACCGGCTTACTCACCAATTTTCACAGGACCTTCCTTTCCCTAAACTACTATCGCACCCTTGAATTCAAGTGTAACATACTGAACCATCTCCTCTGCCTCTCCCAATCAAAGATAAGACTGGGTGGGCCAGTTGGGTATGCTGTGACTGAATTCTAGTGGCAGTGGCTATGTAGAGGTGGGGAAAGGCAGGCACTGGGAAGACTGGAGGAGGGGCAGGCAGGGCAGTTGGCTATCCCAAGGTTAAATTTAAGGGTACTGGCCCACCTGCCCTAATGTGAGAAATTCTGGGGAAAGTAATAGGCAATTAAGCATTAACAAGAGATAAAGTGAAGTCTACTGATAGCATATCTTATAAACAGCAATTCAGTAGCAAAATACCTGAAAAGCAGCTTTGCAGATCATTCAAAAAGTTTCCACCTTAATGAACTCACTATGAATGAGGGCTGGAAATTGCTCTGGCGGGTTCCACTTTTTGTATTTACCCTAAGACTAGTATTAAAGATATCATACTGAAGTTTATGAAATTCTTGCTTCTTTGACCTTGCCCAGCTTGACACCTTGTCCTCTACCTTCACAGCACTTTCTTTTCCCTAGCTCTCCTCTAGTGCTGCTGCTTTTCCTTTTTTCCTGCTCTCCCCACTCAGAAACTTTTTGCCCAAACATGTGTTTCAGTTTGGGCATGGATGCCTGAAAGTGACTATTCTGAGCTGCATTGGTTGCCGGGGTGCTCCGAGGTGCAATTCAAGGTACTGGTTGTCACCTTTAAAGCCCTGCATGTCTTGGGACTGGGTTACCTGAGGGACCATCTTTTCTCAATAATTTCTACCGGTCTGATTCAGTCCGGTAGGTTGGCATGCTTCAGGTCCCATCAGCCAAGGAATGTCAACTGGTGGGGACCGGGAGGCATCCTTCTCAGCAGTAGCTCCTGCCCTTTGGAACATTCTCCCTTCAGAGATTAGGATGGCCCGACCCTGTTGGCCCTTTGTAAGGCTTTAAAGACCCGGCTATGTGCCAGGGCCTGGGGCCCCGCGTGTGTTAAGGGCCCTGTCTCCTGGCTATACTGATAATTATTATGATAATTTTCTCAGCTGCCATATATATTTGTTTTTGTATTGGTTTTAATTGGTTTTATTTTCTTAGAATTGTTTGCCACCCAGAGTCATTTGGTTGTGATGGGCGGCTATAGAAAATAAATAAATAAATAAATAAATAAATAAATGTTCGTGCATGGAACGTTTTGCATATTCCTATTTATGTTTATTATTGCTAGCGAACTTAACCACCATTTTGGAGAGAGACACAGGACATAAATCTAACAAATGCTATTTCAAGCTTCCTTCAGCTATGTAATGTACTTGCATGTCACCCTTACTCAGCTCTGTAGATGTTAGATAAGATACCTTCACAGCCAGTCTTCCAAGTTGCAATCCTCAAGGAAACCCTAATTGTTATGCCACTATCTTAGCTTCAAGAGTTAGGCTCTAAAACAGGGAGCAATTTTTATCTGAGGGGAAAAAGAGAAAAGGAAATTTGCAGCCTTGGTTAGCAAATCCTACCACTCCTTAATAAACTACATCGCTAATACGATCAACTACAGCTCATCACCAAGAAGGTGTAATTCCTTTTAATAAACAAAACACAGGAGATTCAGTAATAACACTGGTCTACTCTGCAGGGTTGTCACAACCCACTCAAGTGACCCACGCTGCCCCAAGCATGGTCATAACAACATTGGATTACTTTACTGAATTGATATGACTCAGTTTCTCTACTGCTACCTCCTTTTTGTAAAAAGTATACTGCCAGGGTTACTTTTCAAGTGTTTAGAAACTGAGGAAAAGCACCACTTTTAAAAAGAGCTGAGTTTAAAATATTACATACCCCAGTGTCTGTTTCTACTCTTCATAGATATCCTGCACCCATTCAAAACACCACCAAAAGCCATAGCAATAGAAACAGATTTCTAGATTTTTCTGGGTTGTTTTTTTTTAATGAAGTAGCAGCCACTACTTACTAAGGAAAAATAATTCATAAAGTTGGCTCTCTAAGCAGGGTATATGTGTATATCTATATCTATATCTATATCTATATCTATATCTATCATTGTTAGGGCTGGTCATTCATTGACTAAAGCATCAAGAAGCAAAACCAGGCCTTTCTTATAAAACAAATAGGAAAAAGAAACTTATCACATCTTGTATCTCAACTTCTAGAAGTGCTGGACACTTGCTCTATTTTTTGTTTTGTTTTTAATAAAAGCTGGGAATTGGGGGATTGTGGCTTATCCAGGGAGGGTGTAAATGCCCCTCTTACTGATGCCTATGAAAAGGGTCAAACTCACTCTCACTCTTTTCCTCTTCTCTCCTCCATATTTTATTCATTTTGTTACTTCTAGATAAGGAACCTGCGGCCTCCCTGATATTGCTGATTGACAACTCCGTATAGCCCTGGTAGCATAACCAATAGAGAAGGATGTTGGAAATTTTAATTCACAACATCTGGAAAGCCACAGTTTCCTATTCTGCCAATCTTATGCCCGCCGAGATATGTTAGATCAGTTTTTCTCAACCTTGGCAACCTTAAGATCTGTGGAATTCTGGGAGTTGAAGTCTACAGATCTTAAAGTTGCCAAGGTTGAGAAACACTGTGTTAGATTCTCAACATTCCCAAGCCATATTTATTATTGGCATAATAAACTTTGCAACAAACTTACCTGAAGAGGAGCAATGGGTAAAGAAGCCTGCCAGGGCAATGAAAAGGCAAGAAAAACGAAACAGCCACATAAATACTGAGGAGTTACTGGAGTGAGAAGTTAGGCTTCTCTATTCACTCCAGCTGCAGTAGTACATGACTCCAGTTTTCCCACTCATTCTTGTACATGTTTAACTTGGTTAATTTTCTGGGTTTGCATAAAACCTCAAGTCATGTTTTGTGACTTGAAACCAAATGGCCTGAGTTCATACTACATACGATGCCATGGAAATACCAACCAAAGATAAAGCTAACCAGGCTTAGCATGTTACATGAATGCAGCTGCTTAACTACATGACGTGGCTAAATGCATCACGTGAGGTTCCCAGTCAGCTCAATGGCTTACCTCCTGCATGCTTGTGCTTGTAACTTTATTATTCTCGCTCAATCAAGAAAAGCTCTATTCCTTCGTTAGCGTTTCTGAGTTCCTTGGGGGAATCCATGCTCTTCTCCCAGTGAACACTGAAGGAGAATTTGGGAGATCAAGCTAAAAGCCCCCCACACAAAAACACTCTCCCAGGGAAACTAAAACTGCAGGTTAGCCATAAAGCATTTAAAAGGCCAGGAATTACCGATAAGGTAGGAAAAGATACTGGAAGTCGAATAGAGCTTTGGGAAGGTAAAAGAAAGTAACTCCCTAGAAAGAAAGAAGTGATGTTCTTTGTCCTTTCAAAACCCCATTGTCTTTGCAGCCCAACCCCATTGCCCATCCTAACACCCCAATTGCCTCACTGACCTTACTAGACACATGATATGTAATATCCAATCAAATACTTGCTATTATCTATACCCAATCAAATACCTTGCTGCTATATCCAATCACAGGTATGCTCTAATTTGTGTAACCCTATAAAGAAGGGCTGTAACCCCTCCCTTCTTTAAGTCTGTCTTTGCCTCCAGCACTATCAATAAGCCAGTCTGTGCTTCATTGTAATGTTTTCTGGTCTCCTGTTCAAACATACCCCTAGGAAATTTTTCCTACACTAAACACAAAAATATAAGTACACTGATCAAAACCAAGTTGACAGTTCTTTCCTATCTAGCCCATAGATTTTTATTTATTTATTTATTTATCTAATTTACATGGTCATCCATCTATCCAAGGAACTCTGGGCACCGAACAAACAAAAATAGAAAACTACATTAAAACAAAAACAAAAAAAACCCCAACTAAAACTGCATCAAGACTCAGTAAAATCACAAAACCACTAGAATGATACACCCATGCCAGAGCTCCCACACTAACATCCCAACCCTGATGCCTGGTGCAACTCCACCTTTGAGGCCCACGTCTGCTTGTGTCGTATTTCACAGAGCCCACAAAATACTTGGTCACTTGTATTCAATACACAACTGAGTACCAGAAACAGACAGCTGCTTCTTCACTGCTAATAATAATAGAGAAGTCCAAATCTTGACAGCTTCTCTGGAAGGAAAGGTATAAGGTCACAAGCAGTGTGCAAAAAAAAAAAACAAAAAAACCCACGCCCTACAGGTATCATAAACAGTTTCTCCCTTCCTCCCAGCACCCCTGCTCAAGAACACTGGTTTTGTGCCATGCTCTTGAAAAGGTAGAAAAAGAGTAAGCAGTGGAGAAAGGCTAATCAAACCAGATAAAACATAGCAAAATGTGATTTAGCAGCTGCCTGGCAATTTATGAGCTGGGATCCCCTTGACTGTCTTACACAGAAGGTAAAAAATAGCAAGCATGTGCTAATTTGGCCCCATCAGACTGTCCTGTGTATCAAAAAGATAATTCTGTGCAGGACATGTTTAAAAGATGAACATGGAGCGAAGGAGCTCTTAACCCCTATTTAAAAGGGTTTTATGGGGGGGGGGGTGTTGATGACAGTCAGGCTTCATGAAACTCAGCAAAGCAATCAATTTGGATGTATCCTTCCCCTTG